GGCCGCGCCCTCGGCCGCGCGGGCCCGCAGTGCCGCGCTTCACCTCCTTGGCTGCAGAGAGGCCCCGCGCCCCGGCGAGCAGGGGCTGGCCGGCCTGCATGAGCAGCGAGGGATCCGCAGGCCCCACAAAGCGGAGGTTGTCGCCCACCTGGCAAGGCAGCCCGCCGCCAGCGTAGTCAGGAAGCGGCCCAGCTATGTCGGCGGGTTAATATTGCAAAGCAGCAGGGGCCACGCGTGCAGCCATGCGGGCCCCTTGTAAGGTCCAGAATGCTTGGAGAAATAGGTCACAGGCGCACAGCGAGGCCGCTTCGGAGCAAGCCGGCGACAGCAGTGCGGAGGCAATGATGCAGTGATGCACTCACCTCAGCCAGGCTGATCCACTCCCACTGCTCGTCCGGCGTGTTGATGTTGTAGATCAAACAGTGCATGTCCTGTGCATGACAGGTGGGAAGAAGCGAGGGTCAAAAGAGCCGTCACCAGAACAGTGGCCGTGCCATGGGCGCCAGCAGAGAAGGCGCACGAGGGGAAAAAGCAGCACGCAGGAGCAGGCCCCGCCCACGCCAGGAGGGCCGCTGCGAGGAGGCCTCACCGTGTCGGGGTTGTAGTCGCTGATGATGGCCTGGTACCAGCCATCTTCATCCCACAGCGTCTCCACCCGCTTCCCCACGTGCTCGTTGATCGTCAAGCCCACTGGCAGGCTGCCCGCCGGGCCGGCCGCACGCCCAGGACGGCCGCCCCGCCCACGCCCAGACGGAGCGCCCTGCAGCCCCACAATGCGACGCAGGCAAGTCAGCAGCGGCGGACGCGCCCACGTGAGGCAGGTTCGGGGTAAGGGGAATACATTGGGGGGGAATACACTGGAGGTGCCGGCCTACTGTTTCGAAAACGCCGGCGGCCTTCAAAATCTCAACGGGACTAGGATTCTCTGCTAGAGAGCAACCGGAAATTCTCTGACACCTCAATCTAGAAAACATGCCTTTCTATGCCTGACACCACAATCTAGAAAACATGCCTTTCTATGCCTGATACCACAATCTAGAAAGCATGCCTTTCTATGCGCGTACTGCTGCCTGCTTGCCCTGGGTCGCTCCCAGTCCTCACCCCCCGTCCTTTGGTGGCCCCCAGTGCCCCCCCTCTTCCCCGGGCTGCCAGGCTGGGCGGCGGCGCGGTCTTCCTGTCGCGGGGCGGCGGGGCCTGCAGCGCGGGCGGCGGGGCCATGCTCATCGGCCCCAGCTTCGGCTTCTTGCGGCCCCCGCCCCCCCGCCCGACGCCGGCCCAAAGCCCGCCCCCGGCGTGCCGTCGTAGTGGGTCATGGCCCCGCCGTAGCCGCCGCTGCCGCCACGCTGTTGCAACCCCTCACTGCGCAGCGACACATGGGAGAGGAGGGGTGTAAGGAACAGATGGCGACAAGGAACACGGAGACAGAACTGCGAAGAGGCAGTCAGGAAGGCGGAGGGGGTGGACCAAGAGGGTGAGCAGCAAGGCTGCCTCTCGGTTTGATCAGCCAGCCGCAGTAGAGAGACAGGCGCACATGTCCGCTCCCTCCGTGGGCACAGCATTGTGCTGGGCAGCATTCGCGGGTGCCACCATGCGAGGCGTTTTTGCTGGCACGCGTGCACTTGCACAGTCAGGCTGACAGCGGAGCATGGGCCTACCGGATCCTGCGCAGGCCTTCGTTGTGGCGCTCCGCTTGCACGATGGAGCGGTGCGTCTCCTCGGCCACGTGCAGGCTCTTACGCAGGCCCACCAGCAGCTCCTCCTCGTCCTGCACGCCAAGCGGAGGCACGCTAGCGCAGGGGCAACGGGGGCGGCGGGAGCAAGAAACGGGGGGGGAGCAAGCACTCGATGCAGCCAATGGGTGCCAAGCACACCGGCGCACGAGAGCGCGCTGCTCACCCAGCCAATGTTGTTGGACTGTGCCATGAAGGCCCTCATGACCCCTGTGTAGGCGTCCTGCTGCAGCTGCCGCAGCTGCGCACCGTAGTCAGAACCCCCACCGCGCGCTGGCTCCTTGGGACCCCCACCGCCGGCCCTCCCAGAACCGCGGCCATAGCGGTTCTCCGGTGGTGGAGAATTGTCATCATCGGTGTCTGCAGAGAAGAGAGGGGAGAAAATGAAGCGTGCAGCACAGCCACAAAACAGACTGGGAAGAAGGAGTAATCCTCGGCCTTGCCCATAGTGGTGCTCCTCAGGCGATAATTGGCCGAAGTGGCGGGATTACCACAACAATGGCATGATGCATCGGGCTCAGCAGCACACCGTAATAGCATCAAGCTCTGCTTAGCTAAGAAGAACTGCATTGCAAGAGTCTGGGCACTCACTACTGTCAGACTGCATCCTAGAACCGCGCTTGCAGGCTGCAGGCCAGCAGGGACTCCAAAAGGAACCCTCGAAAGAGTAGACACGGACTCAGGACCTTCAACCCAGCGAATCAAGTGTTTCAGGAACTACAGAACAGACAAAGCTAGCAGCTGTCGTTCATCAATGAGCCATTGTCATGCCGACCAGGCCCGCTGGTTGTGGAAGCACGTCGCCGCCTTGTTGAAAGGATACCTCGCGCCATTGCAGTACCGTATCAGCCACTTTGGCGCGGCACCACTACAATCTGGCTACCTACCTCATGCACGCCCTGTGCACACTTGAATATACCTATACCTACCGTAATCGGAGTGTGACTTCAGTGTGCCTATTCACACTCGTAGCTTCAGTGGTCCTGCGGAGGGCTACCCTGGAGGCTACGACTTCGGAAGCGGATATAAAAAATGTGAGGGTCGAAACTGGTATCGACGGTACCAGCGATCAGTGACGTTTCAATTTTACCGGCCCGTATCCAAAAACCTATGCTTTTGCCGCGCAGGGGCCCAACGCGACGGCCGCAGCGGCCCGGTTCCGTGAACATGCGAGTCGTGACCTATCTTCGATACAGTCAGTTCGATTGGGGGCCTCCAAAACCTCGCGGATCGAACATCTTGGCCGAGCATGTGAACGGGGCGTGCAGAGTCCCTGGGGCCTGGAGTATACTGTCTAGTACTAATACCGTAGTGGCACGACCCATTCACCCTGAAATTAATTATTTTGGGCTTGTGTGAAAAAAATAATTAATTCTGAACAGCTTGTGTGAAACTGCGAAACTAAAAGATCCGGGTTAGTTGATTGGTTACGTCTGTTTTGGGTGGTTAATCACCTGATTCTGTAGGGTTATATTGCTGGTACGAAATGAAATAAATACTCTTGAGCTTGGTGTGAAAAAAAATAAGTGAAAAAAATAATGTTCGCAGAGAGGGGTCGCGAATGGGTCGTGCCACTACGGTACCGTATGGCGGGCCCACATGTGTGACATGGTGCTCGCTGCCACCCTTCGAACAGCGCCGGCAAGGACAAGTTTGGGTGTGCTAGGTGCCCACAGCGGTGGGGCAATGTCGGTGGCAGCGGATTGGGCTTGGTATCCTTTCGGCCAGTCAAAGACGATCTTCCTCATTCGCCATGCCCAAGGGTATGCAACGAGCAGCAACTTTGCAGTATTTTTCGTCCTGTTGGCTTGCGGATTGCGTGCTTCATAGACAGATGGTGTGGAATCCAGTCTCTTACGTTGCGTATAAGGGACAGATCTGCGGAATCAACCACATCTTATCAGAGCATAATCCAGGTGCAGTGGTCACGCATTTGAAAGGGGCCTTCCTGGAACAGCTTCGAGGCAGAGACACCTTGCCTGATCAAGCCAGGTCTGACGATGTTGCAGTGCACCTTCGTTGCCTCCTTTCCCCCCTTCCCTCCTCCTACAACCCCAAACCTCAGATACGGTACACCGCTGTGACCTCAGCTTCTGGTCGCTCCTGATCATCCTGCTTTGACTCTGTTGCAGGCACCACAATGTTGCTGGTATGTTGCTGCAACCATTCTAGGGGACGCTCCTGCTGGCCCCCAGGCACACCTGTGTTGTTCTTGTGTCCCTGCTGCCGCACAAAGCGCCGACGTTGAGTTGGGCAGATGCCGTTCGCGATCCCTGGTCGAAGCCAGATGGCACCTGGCGGGCTGATTCTGTGTTGCTGCGCCAAACATTGCGTTCTGCTGGCACCCTGAGTTGCCGACCTCTAGTGCTGTGCCTGTTTGGTGACGCGTTCGCCGTGGCTGCAGGCGAGAAGGACATTGCTGCCTACAAGTCGTGGGATTGGGCGGATGCGTCGTTGACCCCCCTTGGTTTTTCACAAACACGCTCCCTGCGGCGCCACCTGGCCCAGCTCTCGCCCGCTCCCCGCCTAGACCTCGTGGTCGTATCCCCGCTGACCCGCACGCTCCAGACGGCGTGTGCCGTCTTTGGGACCCCGGCCGATGAGAAGCCCCCTAGCGCGGGCGACCAGCAGGCTGCACCGGTGCTCATGCTGCCATCGGACGAGGCGCCAGGCTTCACAAGCAGCGGCGCCCCCCCATTTGTGGCCACGGAGCTCTGCCGGGAGTAAGTGGCGACTCATGCGAAGACCTGTTGTAGACATGTTTTGCCAGAGAGTGATTTGCACCTGTTGTGGCCAATTCTTGAGTGGTTGGAGTCTGGGACAGTATGGGCACCGTGGTTTTCTATATGACGGGCTTTCCCCGACCCCACCGCAGGCACTACGGGCTGCACCCCTGCGATGCCCGCCAGAGCCTCTCGCACTACGCCAAGACCTTCCCCGCCGTCGACTTCTCCCAGGTGCGTCACAACAGGGACGGCTGCCACCAGCAGGGACAAAGCTCTCGAGGAAAAGAATTGCCAAGCTGCCGAATGTGGGCCGTCGCTTTCACCATTGGGAGACATCGAGAATGAGATTTTGGGTGTGCCGAACGATTTCGGCTACTTTGTTCCAGAACTTTTGCAATCTGCTTTCTGCTTACCATAGAGCAGTTCATTGTTTCGCCTGATTTCTGCAGGGGCCCCTGAGGTGCTTGCCGCCATCACCAATTGTCTGAAAGGGCCCCTACCCAACGTTCTCATGTGGAGAACCGCCTCGCCTTGCGAATCTTGGAAGCAGGCCTTTTTTCCATCCAGCAAGCCGACCTACCAGAGAAAGTCGCTATCTGAGCTCGAAGATGCCGGTTCTGTTCAAGCTGTGCTTGACCCGCTTCCCCCTTCGCGTGGCACAGGTGGAGTCGGAAGAGGATGTGCTGTGGAAGCCCGACATCCGCGAAAGCGATGACGATCTGCTGGAACGAAGCCATCACTTTGTGAAGTGGTGAGTCGTCCGGCAGAGCTGTTCGTTTCAATCAGCAAGAAGTTACGGGCGTGGAGCAGTGCTGCCATTCGTGTTGTACAGATGTCCGTGTTCCCACTTCTAGAGCGCACGCCTTTCCTTCTTTTTCCGCACAATATGGTCCTCAAAGCCTGGTTCGTGCCAACTTTCCTTGCTGCCCCTCTCTGTCGCCCTGGCTGCGCTGTACCGCTGCGTGTCCCCCTGTCTGCTTGTCCAGGCTGTTGCAGCGACCGGAGGAGCGCATTGCCGTGGTGACCCACAGCGGCTTCCTGCACGCCCTCCTCAGCCACGCCGGCCACGACTGCCCGCCCCCGGTCCAGGACTATCTCCGCACCGGGTGAGCCGCGCCGCTCGACAGCCGCTCGCGGCGGTTGGGTCAATTAGGGAAACTGGGCTTTTGCCCCAACATACTCACAGCATGCTAACGTTTCTGATGGTGTACCCTTCACTGAAGCAAGCGGCTTGAGATGCTAACACCTTCTTGGCGTTTGGACCGTCAGTTATGTTTGTACTCTGGTCACTACCAGTACCCAATTCGGTACCTCTTTAATTTGTGAGGTTTTTATGTTTGTACTCTGGTCACTATCAGTACCCATTTCGGTACCTCTTTAAATTGTGGGTTTTTTGTGTGCAAGGTTTCGGAATTGCGAGCTGCGGGTTCTCACACTTGCAAACAAGCGGTGAGTCATCGAAAGAAAGCTGTTGCTACTAATGAGATGGGCAGCAAACAAGTCGACAATGCTCCATTACTTCTTCGATGTATGCTTGGCTGCATCAGTTGCTACACTGGAAAGCTGACTGCCCGCATCTCCTTGATTCACCAACCACATTTGCAAATTTCCATTTAGGAATGGATCGGTTGCGCCCACAAGCATCGGGTTGAACTTCCCGGGGGGCCATCCGTCTGGACCCAGCGCTGGCTCCGACCTGCTTGACGACGTGGAAGGAACCGTGAAGGAGCAGGAGGCAAGCGATGATGCAAATAAGAGTTGACGGGCGTTGATTATCTCACAGACATTCTTATGCACGCATAGTTGTTAAGCTGTTACTGCTCAAAAAGGTTATCCAGATTCTGACGTCATTTTCCTGTTGAATCGTTTTACGCTTCACCCGAATTTCTCGCTGACAGCGACATCAAGCATGTTGCAATAGTGGAATAGTTGTAGCTTGTTTCAACGAACGCTCTCAGTGGGACAAGCCTGGGCACTGAGTTGGGGACGATGTATCGATGCGTCCCGTCCTTGTCCATTATTTTCCCTTTTCCATGTTGGGTATGTTTTTGAAGGCTACTTTTGGGGGAGCAATCCGACGTACGAGACAAACGTGATGATTGAGGATTGTTCAGACACTTGGAGTGAACCACATACCTCGATGACCTTGCCATACGCTAGGAGGCGTTCCATGTACGTAAAAGGTGGCAGATTGTTGGATTTGTCAATGAAGATATTTCGCCCGAGATATCACATCAACATTATGTTGTCCATTCCATCATCCCGTTATAAGCATTCAATGATTAGCTTATGCGAAATTTAGTATACTACACGTCGCTTACGCGTGGTATAAAGCAACATACAACGCAGATATTACCGGTATGGCGACACAATATAAAGGGTGTGTCGTCGATCAACCTAAAGCATGTGCAGTGATTACTAACTTTACCGTCATCCATGTTGGATTACACATGTAAACAAGGGAATTATGATGCATCAAGGGAATTAACGAAACAAAACACGGGATGTCCATGCAAAATTTCAAACAATGATTCTGATCATATATTTATATCAGCTTTAGTTAGCTTCGATTGGAGCAGGTAACATCGGCCTATTCGCAATACTGATACTCATACTGGGGCACTCGACATGGATTACCGGCGTTTGGCCGTTGACATACTCCCTTGACTCTCCCTCTCTTTCTCTTGGCATATCTTCAATCGAATCTGCTCTTCGTTGATCTCCACCTGAACCATCCAAAAGGCAAGAAGTTCCTTTTTTATTGCAAGGGTTCAGCATAAAGAAGAGACGCTCGCAACAAACGTTCCAGGTTTGAGTTGTAAATGCTCGGCACGTCCTTCAAACGCTTGGCGAACATGCGGCTCACCTGCTGTGAAAATTGCAGAAAGAGCGCATGTGTCTCTTCTCGTCCGGTCACTGCCAGTTCGGCTCCTCGATACCAGAGTACAGTGTCCACATGGCTCTTCTGCTTGACAGCTACTTCCAGCGCCCTGTATCAAATCACCTTGAATTAGGTGCCCGTAAACCTTGCACTCAAGAGGCAACGACCGGAACTGGACCAACCTGAGATGTAAAAGCAACTTAAAACAACAGGCTGTGAATGTTGAAACTTTTGGAAGATCCATGAAATGATTTCATCACTCGTCCGTTTGCGAAGCCTGCTCTGGCGACGCGGGCCAGCTTGTTGCAAGTGCTACTCACCTGTCCCAGTTCTTGGCACGGATGTGGATTTTGATGGCTCGATATACAAGTCCCGCTTGGAGAAGGATGCCTTCCGCCTCTTCTATCCTTCCTTGCAAGACCGCCAGCTGTGCTGCGCGTGCCTCTTCGCGCGGCAGCGCGCGTATGTACGCCAGCGCGTCCACCATGGCCACCTGCGAAGCAAGGCCCCGCCGCGGCAAGGGGTCGGTCACACGCTCCCGGCCACCAGTGACGCCGCCCAGAAATCAGACCCGCATACCGCACGACACCAGCGTCGCAGCCACGAGCTTTCGATCACGAGCGACTGAACAGGGCAGCCATGCCAGACCTCCGTTTGCTAGCTTGAGCATGACGGACTGCTGAGAAGTGTCCCTCGAGGACGGGTCTCCACTGCAGACTGAGGCCGCTCTCGTGGCACTAGCTGCGCCGCTCACCTGTCCCAGTGCTGCGTAGGCCGCCTCTGCGGTGGCGGTCTCCCGTGCGGCCAGGGCCCGTGCGGCCAGTGCTGCCCAGAGGCCGTCGTCGGCCACGCAGCGGCACAGCCGGGTGGCGGCCTCCCACCGGCCTGCGGCGGCGGCTTGGGCGAGCGCGAGCGGGTACGGGGACACGGCCACGTGCACCAGGGTGCCGCGGGGGGTACGCAGCGTGGCAGCAGGCTCGCCGTAGGCCACTAGCTCCAGGCGGGGGCCGTGCTGGCTGGAAGGGGGGGTAAAAGAACGTACAGGAACTTCAGAGAGGGCAGCAGGCAGTGGAGGAGCAACGCAGAGCAACGCCAGTGCGTGGACGAACCACGTAGGTTGGCTCGGGCCATGATCGCTCCGAGCATTGTTCCAGTGCCCAAGAACGACAGGCGGTCGCCGGGTGCGCGGCGTGTACCTGACGTCGAGGCTGGCGGTGGTGGCGGGGAGCAGGCTCGGGTCGGCGGCCAGCACCCCGGGCGCGGCCCACTGCAGCACGCGGCCGCCGGCGAGGCCCAGCAGCACGTCCGCGGCCGCGTGCCACGCCAGGCCCTCCACCGCGGCGCCCAGCCGGCCCAGCGCAGGCGACTGCACGGACCACCACCAAACCGTCACCAGGCCAGCAGCTGCATCGAGAGCCGCGTGAAAGGCGAGAAAAGGAAAACGCCGTGCGCGTATTCTTTGTTGCATGACGTTTCAGGTGACGCACTAGTCCTCAGATTGAACCGCCCCAGTTGCGGAGGCCCTGCCAGACATGTGGGGGCCTCACCTGGAGTGCGGTGCAGTAGAGGTCGCGGTTTCTGTCGATGAGCGCTAGGCGCCGCTCCGCGGGCGTCCCGCCCTGGCTGAGCGCGACGTGCAGCACGTCCTGGCTGTGCCGCAGCGGCTCCCCGACCGGTTGGCCCGTGGCGGTGGAGAGGCAGCGCACGCAGCGCGGGTCCAGCCGGTCGACCACGGCCAGAGTGTCGTTGCTCAAGCTGCAGTTGGCGCCCGTCAGCGCCTCGGGCCGCAGGCCTGCACGGACAGCCCCACACGACACGCTCAGCACGGGGGCTCGCCGACACTTAGCCGACTCGTCGGCATTTCAGGCTGCTGCGGCATTGGCAGGCAGGGCCGTGAGCACGAGCGTGCGCGGGGGGGGGCGGACCTTGCCACTTGGGGGTGGCGAGCGTGCGGCCGGTGTAGGAGAGCAGCTGCACGCCGGCGGAGGGGTCGGCGAGCAGGAAGAGGCGCTCCGCCTGCAGCAGCAGCAGCGGCGTGTCCGCCACCTCCACCACCACCGGCGTGTTCCACGACGCCACGCCGTAAATGGCCACCTGCACGCGCCGCACCGAACACCCCGCGCGTCAGCTGCGCCGCAGGAGGACGGCTCGCCGACCGAGGTGGCACCTGCGCACCCCAAAGAGCACAGGCAGGGAGCCAGGCCGACGCTGGCAGGGGCCGCAAGAGGAGATCAGCACTGCATGGCAGAGAGAAGCGGGCAGGCAGGATGCGATCATGAAGCCTTGCTCGTCTTGAAGGTGCTCTACCCGCGGGTGGGGATTCGAAGGACGAGTCCTCCACCCCAGGAGCAGCCGGGGTGCGTGGTCGGCCTGGCGCCGGGGCCTCACCTGATGCGCGGTGGCCACCAGGAGGTGGTCGTACGCGAAGCTCATGGCCACCACCGCCTCGCGCACCTCCAGCTCCTCCTGCGCCGCGCTGCCCACCTCCTGCGCACCGCCCACAGCCCACCGTGAGCGTGCAGGCGAAACCACTGGAGAGAGCCGAGCGTGGGGCTTCCCGGTGGAGACAAGCAGGGTGTCCCTGCCCGGCCAGGCTGGGTGGCAGCGCAGGGGCGGGCTGCCTCACCTGGACCCGTATGCGCGCGGGCTCTGCCAGCAGCGCGCTGTGGCTGCCCCACTCCACCCTCCGCTTCACCATGTGGCCCACCGCCAGGAGCCCGCCCGCTCCACCGACCGCCAGCCGCGATCCGTCGCAGCTCCAAGCTACACTTCGCACCATGCTGCCCTCGAACGAGTAGTGCGATGCAAACACGCCGCTGCTCTCGCACAGGTACACCGCACCTGAGGAGGGAGCAGCAGGGGCGGGGGTGAGCTTGATAAGCAGGGAACGGCTGCGAGTTGCACGAAAGCACAAAGTCACAGCTGGGCGAGCAGCTGCACAGCATCCCCCCTGTACACTACACTGGCTTTGTCGGTGGCCTTCGTGCCTGCTTTGTCCGCACTTGGAGCCAAGTTTCCTCACACGCCTTTGCCCAGTTGCCTTCAAGGCTCACCGCGTGTAGCAACGGCCAGGTGGCAGCCCCCCGGCGCCCAGGCGAGGGCGGTGCAGGCGCTGGGCAGCGGTGCACTCTGGAACAGCGGCCGCCCGTCCGTGTCCCACACCTGCGCAGGGCCGCGCGCATCAACAAGGGAAGGCTACCTCAAGCGGGCACCGGGCGGGCACCATCGACCACAGCCCGCATGGCAGAGCAGAGGTGCGCAGGACAGGGCAAGGTCGTACCCCAGTCGATATGAAGGAGCAGGCCTTCCTGACCGGGTGTTCTGCGCCAAAAAGGCCCTGGAGGGCAGGTCCCCCTTCAGGGCTGGCTTGGTGCCTTACCTTGTAGATGGCGTCTTCCCCTCCTGACGCAATCTTGTCAGCGGCAGGGCTCCAGTCCACTGCCAGAATGGGCGCGTCGTGGGCTCTCCACTGTAGAGGCCTGGCCCCCGCGGCCAGGGGCGCCACCAGCAGCAGCCCCCCACGCGGGTACACCAGCGCGGCCGCATCAGGGCTCCACGCCAGGCACAGCACCGGGCCATCTGCACCACAGCACTCTCCGGAGATCAATGACAGTCTCACCAAAGATGGAGCACCTCTGAACTTCTCAAAGCGCTTTTCGGACGAGTCGGCTTTCCTTCCTCCCGGCTGGGGAAGATTCTCCATGCAGGGCTCACCGATTTGCGCTAGGACGGAGCGCAGCATGCCGCTGCGAGACCAGATCTTGAGCGCCCCGTCCTGGCCCCCCGTGGCCACAGCAGTCCCTGCAGCCACAGGCCCACGCACCGAGATGAGCGGCAGGGAGGACAGCCGGAGACGAGCGGGGCAGGCCTGGTGGAGGGACGCCAGTGGGCAGAGGCAACTGTCCATTGCACGAGTGCATGAGCGCAGACTTGGCACAAGCCAAAGTTAGATCCATGCGTTGCTCATGAAAGAGCAGCACCATCAAGAGCGGACTGTCCTTCGCCCCAGTCAGGAGCTGACTAGCCAGTATTCCCACCTTCCTGGTTCCATTGGATGGCGGTTAGCGGGCCCGCATGCGCGTCCACTCGTTTCTCCTCCCGCCCGTTTGCCCGCATCAGCCGGAATGTGCCTGCCAGGCCCATGAGAGGACGGCCTTCAGTCTTCATGAAGCGTCAGGGCTTGCAGACATGGCCTCCCTCAAAACATTCGGGCAGCAAACACACGTGGGGCGATCATTGCCCCAGGTTTATCCCCCACGGCTCACCATCGTCCGCGGCCAGCAGGAAGACATCGGTGGTGGCGCCTGGCTGAGGCTTGCGAGAGGCGCAGGGGTACCAGTGCAGCGAGGAGCAGGGGGCATCCAGCTCACATACCTGCACCCAGCCGCGCAGCGCAGGTCAGCAGCCAGCACGCAAACAGGCGCGGCGCAGGCAGCCAGAAGGGACGCAGACAGGGCACACCGCAGCAGCTGGCGGGCACGCATGGCAGCCAGAGCGCTCTGCCCTGGGCTTTGCGGAGGGCGGGGTACCTTGCTGGGCGGGTTCCCTTCCGCTGGCCAGCGCCAGAGGGCCTGGTCCTCGCTGCACGCCCACACGTCATTCCCCGCCGTCCAGGCCACCCCCGTGAGGCCCTCCGCATCTGAGGTCATTGGGGGGTCAAGGCGGGCCAATTGCGCGGCAGACAGGGGACCAGGGAGCAGCAGGGCCCACCGCAGGGAGCAGAGCAAAGCACAGCAGAGCCAAAAACAGCAGACAGGGGGAAGAATAGTGCACTGAAGGCTGAGCCTAGGGAAACCAATGCAGCATGCTAAGACTGAACGAGGCGGAGCGATGGTGCAGGATACGAGGTGCCGCCGCCTTGGTGACCTGCAGCCTCATTGGGACCTCCCCAGCTTGGGGGGCAAGTGAGCAGGCTGGCGACAAATGAAGGCAGGCAAGGTCAGTTTCGATCAGAGCTCAGAGTTGAGCCTGTTCCCCAGGGGACCTGCTCCTCGTCTGTGCTGCAAGAGCAATTGGGCCAAGCAAGCAGCGCTGTATGGTCATCCAGAAGCTGTGGCGGGGCCAGCTGTGCTTTTCCTCACAGATTGATCAGCATGTGGAGCTGATTTTGCGGTGCCAAGTCTTTGATCAGAGCAAGCCCTCGTACGTTGGGCTGCTTTGTCTAAGACCAGCAGGGCTTGGCACCTCCGCCACCACTCTCATTCGCAGGTCCACCCTGCAGAATGCCTGCGAAAATGCTGTGCACACGTCTCTCCCACTCTCTGCAGTCTGAGTGAGCCTTCCGCAGCCAATGTTGCCAATGGGCTTCGGAAGACAGGCACCCAACTTCAAACAAGCAAGTCTCTGCGGTTAATATCATCGACGGTCGTCATATAACCTGCTTGCCCACAGCATGAAATCGAACGGCTTCGCTTGCTTTCAGTCAGTGTGCGCGCTCCAATTCGTCCTCGGGAGTGTGCATAATATTCGATTCTTGCCTTGCCAGTTGCAGGCAGCCTTGGTCCGCTCCCTACTTCCTGTCACAGGTAAATGTTGTAGGTAGCACTGGGTACTAGAGGTAGCAGCAAAAGTAGACTGTAGAGGGAGGTATCCGCAGCAGAAGCATCCCTAATTGAAGCTCGCTTCTCTCCCAATGGCTCCCATCACGCATGCCATGCTCCAAAAGCGAGCTGAACACAACGAAGGAATTGTCTCGACACTGAAGGTGAGGCTTTGCTTCTGTGCTCCCGGCCCCTTTGCTGTACCGTGCAACTTTTAAGAGATTACACTCTGGTTTCCTGCTTCCCTGCGCGTGGATTCGTATCTGTGCTGTGCTTCCCTGGTGCTGGACCGTGGCTCCCCGCGTTGCAGGAGGTGTCCCTGCACCAGCAGGACATTGAGCGGATTGAGGGCCTGGGCCAGCTGTGCCGCCAGCTGGAGATCCTGTACCTACAAAACAACCTGATCAGCAAGATTGGTGAGCTCCCCCCTCCCACCCGCCAGGGTAACCCCTGGCAGGCCCTGTGCCTGGTGGTGTCAGCTTCTTCCCGCAGGGCACCTGCTGCCTGGGCCTGTCACATGCATGGTCCGCTGGCGAGGCAAGGGCACAGCTGCCGTGTCGCTGCTTGGCTGAGAGGGCAGTGCATTGGTGTTGCAGAGAACCTGGAGCGCCTCAAGGAGCTGAACTACCTGAACTTGGCCGTCAACAACATCACGCGGGTGAGCGCCTGGCGACTCTTTTCCTCTGGAACCGCAGCTGTGCGCAGTTGGCACTGTTTAAGTGCGTTGTTGCACCCTGGCATCAGTGGACCCCCTAGCTTACGGCCACCCCTGCCATCGGCGTCGCTGCCGTTTGCTTTCTCTCCCCTCTTACTCAGCCGCTGCGCTGTGCGCCTGCAGATTGAGGGCCTGGAGCGCTGTGAGTCGCTGCGCAAGCTGGACCTCACAGTCAACTTTGTGGACAAGGCCGGCCTCCTCACCATACAGCGCCTGCGCACCAACGCCGCCCTGCGTGAGCTGTGAGTGCCGCCCCACCGTCCCTTGTTGCCCAGCTGGAGCTCTCGCTCTAGCAATGCCGTCCTGCTGCCTGGTGCCTTGGCTGCGGCCTGCTGTTGGTGACACTACGCCCCGTGTGCAGGTATCTCACGGGCAACCCCTGCCAGGACGTCCCCGGGTACCGCCAGTATGTGGTGGCCAGCTTGCCTGCCCTGCAGGTCCGCTCCCTGCCCTCATCTCCTCACAGCGCCGCGCGGCGTGCCCTGTATGCCACTCTGTGTCATGCCTGCCTGTCTGCTCTTCAACGCTTACGGCCCCCTGTTATACTGACCCTGCCTCCACCTTCCTGTGTAGCGCCTGGACGGAGTCGAGATTACAGCGTCCGAGCGCATCGCCGCAGCTCAGGTGAACCTCTCTCCCTTCACTCAACCCCCACCCCCCAGTAATCTTCAACATGGCGTCTTTTGCTTGCTGTGGCCTTAGTTCCGTGCTGGTGCAGAGGGCGCCCGCTGCTGGGTGTGCTTCCTCTGCTCACGCGTGTGATGTGCATGTGCAGGCGCTGCCGGCCATCCACGCACAGCTGCAGGCCGAGCTGGAGGCGGAGGGCGTGGATGTGCCCGCCCTGCTGCGCCCCACTGCCAGGCGTGGCGGCCCCGCAGCAACGCCTCCGCAAGAGGCCCACGACGAGCTGGAGCCGGCCTGGTGAGAGCGCGGTACTAGCAGGAGCAGCTGCGCTGCACAGAGGGTGGCGGCGGGCCCGCTGTCATTGTGTGCCGGTGGAGGGGCGTTCCGGTGTGCCTGCCCACTGACATCGTCGTGTCTGTGCTTGCAGGGACGCTGCCGGAGAAGCGGTGCGGCCGTACTCCGCTGCGACCCGCCTGGCCGAGCACCGTGAGATGGCCGCGCTGCGTGCAAAGGCGCAAGAGCAGCAGGTCAGCCCCGCTGTCACCGTGCTCATCAGGCTTACTATCGGTATGCCTGGAACGAAATGAAGTGTGCTCGCTGTGTCGTTGCTTCACACAGTGCCCGTGCTAACCACTTCGTCTAACAGACTGCCGTCCTCTGGTGGGTGCAGGAGCGTACTCGAGAGGGCGCCCTTGCTGGCGAATCTCGCCCGCCTCCGCGCCAGGGCTTTGACCCGCTGCCCACCGCGGGGCGCATCTATCAGAAGAACGAGGGCAGGTGCGCACGACAGCTCGGATTTGGGACTCTGTGCCGCACCAGGGTGGCCCCTCCTCCATTTGCAGCGACTGCTTGGTCTGTCGACTGAATAGGTCGGCTGCTGGAGTGGCCAAGCCCCTGGCAGGTCCGAACCCCCTGCCGTGCTTTGCTGCTTTCCATAAAGTGCCGTGCTCACACCAGCATTGCCGAGTGCCTCTGACGTGCGTCCTTGTGGCGGCCTGCGTGCCAGGTGGGACTTCACTTTGGGCGAGGCTGCGGACGGGGCGGCGTGCGTGCTGGACGTGGCGGTGGGCCGCTTCCTGGACAGCAGCCTGCTGGCAGTCGACGTGCAGCCGCGCCTCGTGCGCGTCCTCATCAAGGGCCGCCTCCTGCAGCTCGCCCTCGCAGCCGAGGTCAGCCCTCCTAGCCGCAGCAGCCCAGGGCGAGCGCACGCGCGCTGCTGTTCCCCCCACTCGCCTCTGCTGACCTGTGCGCCTGCTCCTCCCGCTTGTCCCCCGCCCCCGTCCCATTGCTGAGCGGGTAGTGCTGGTGGTGCTGCAGGTGTGCACCTCGCGCAGCGTAGCACAGCGGTCGCAGACGACGGGCCATCTGGTGGTCACCATGCCCCTCGCCTACCCGCACCTCGTGCCGAACCCGGTGCTCGCCCCGCCGCGAGCACCGCTGGCAGCCCGGGACTCCAATGGGCGGGGCAGCCGGCAGGTCGAGGAGCGGGGCGGCAGAGGCGGGGCCGTGTCCACGCGCATCCTGGCCCCGGAGAACAGCGAGGCGCAGGGCAAGCCAGGACCCGAGCAGGGGGCCGACCGGGTGAGGGAATGACAGGAAGGTGCAGCAGGCGTGCACAAGGGCGCTTGACGCAAGACGTCGTTCTGTGACGACCCCCTCTATCCGCGTGTCTCGTAAAGGCCCCTCCTTGAAGATTTCCTTCAACCTGGCACGGATTCGCTGCTCTTCGTACGTACGCTGCCTAACGTCCGCCTCCCGCTTGCAGCGACCCGCCCATCCCGGCCCCCGGGCAGGCCTCCCCGAGAAGAAGTCGTCCATCAGCCGGAGCGGCGCTGCCGACACCGATATCCCGCCCCTGGAATAAAGTTGGCGCATGCAGTCGTCCTCGCGAGGGGCAGAGATTTCCGGGCGGTGCGCGCGCTTCTTTCCTACACGGAGGCAGAGTCGCTACCGGGAAACTGGCATCGGTAATGACCGTTCGAAGAACCCCTAGCCGGAGGCACCGGGCCGCATAGGCGCCCCTTGATCAGGCGCGTTCACGGTCGGGTGGGCACTGCGGCAAGGTCCACCGCAGGCCGGCCTCTCGTGCGACGCGAGGTTGCGGGCTGGACACGGGGCAACGGAACACACATTCGCAATCAAGACGATCGCCCGATGTGCGCCCGCGGCAGATACCGTTGCCCTCAGCGGACAGAGCACCCGGGTGGAAGCAGGCCGAGGGGCTGGCACCGCCCAGGGGTTACGAGCGCGCGCCTTGCCTTTGCCTTTCTGCTGCTGGGAACCTACATCCCTTCCAATTACCCCGTGAAAGAACCGGGGACGGCGAGCACCGTCCGGGTTTCGACAGTCCAAAAAGAAATATCCACGATGTCGAGAAACGGTCCGCGGCATGGCACCATTTGCGTAAGTACCAAACGGGAACTAATTATGCAGATCGATGGCCGATAAGCGTTGTCTTGACGCCTGCCTTGTGAGTCAGCATAGAACGAATTTTGTGCGCAAGTGGCTAAGCGATGTGAGAAAGACTTTCTCAACAGCATACTTTCAAGTACATCTATCGACTCCGACTGGCGTGCTATGCATCTGGACGGGCCATGTTTCGGCCTGTGTTCGCAAAAGACATAATTCATATTCAGATGAAAACGTCATTTTAGAGAGTAAAGAAAGCTTATATATAGATTGAAATGACCAATCTGGGAACCGGAATACATATACTAAGCGGCTCGAAACCGTTGCCTGAATGCCTTTCTTCATGTAAGTCGTTGTTGACTTTGCTTTTCTGAAGCAAAACCAGTAATACCACCATGCTGCAACCTGTGGTCGAGAATTCAAGTCCATGCAATGAAAGGAACCCACCCGCTATACTGAGTGGATAGCATATTGCATATGCAAGTACACCACGCAGCTATGCCCAGCGTATTTGCAGCACACATACCGCATGTAAGTCTGCTGTGCCGGACTGAGGCCCTGCAATTAGCGAGTTCATGTTGAAAAGAGGTGGTTAAGGTCTTGACGGGTAGAATGGATGACGCCGACACTTGTGCACAAGTTTGTTCTTGCCAGAGACATTTCCGTCAAGCGGTTTCGGGCAGCCCCCCGTCACTGAGCGCCCCCTCGTCCAGCGTCCCCTCTACTTTCCACTTGAGGATGGCGCTCGTGTCGTAGCTCTTGCTCCCCTTGACCAGCCCCGTTCGGAGCACACGCTCCACGAACCGCTCCACGTCCACGTCCACGCGCGCGGCCACCATGCCCGGGATCTCCCCCGCCGCCACCATGCCGCACCCCAGCGCCAGGAGCGCCTCCAGCTCCGGCCCGGCCTTGCTGCTGTCGAACCTGCGACCAGGGAGTCAAACGGCGGAACACGCTCATCGCACCAGGCTTGCACCAGCGGGAGGAATTGTATATGCACTTCCTCTGTCTCACAGCGTATTCTGCAGGCTAGACTTCTAATCTAAGTGTGCCTGCTCACGGATCCTGCGCATGCCCACTTCAGAACGGCGGTTGTAGCGTGCGCCACTCCGTCTTCTCTCTGCCGGGGCTCACCTCTCGAGGGCGGTGCTGACGTCGGCGAGCGTGATGGTGCGGTTCTGCTCCGCGGCGTCGGTCCGCAGGCGGTCGAGGGCGGCGCGCAGGCGCGCGGTGTAGTCGCGCACTTCGGCGAGGTGCTGCTCCAGGGCCAGCCCCAGCAAGCCGGGGGGCGCCAGGCCGCTGCCCAGCACGTCCTCAATCACCACCTCCTGCACGCGGCGCACGCGCGCACAGCATCAGCGACGCACCACGACCGTCTCGCCGCACTGCGAGCCGGGCATCGTGCGAAAAAGGAAACCTGCCGAGCCCGCCTGCGTCTGTTGCGCGCGCTCACCTCCTTTTTGGCATGCGCGCGGAGGGCCTTGTGCAGCGCCTTGCGGCTGTCAGCGCTCTTGGCAGGGAAGAAGGCGTCGAGCGCCTCAAGGCAGTCCGCAGTGCGCGCCTTGGTATGGTTGGTGGGCGAGCACGCGCGTGCCACCGTCCGCAGCAGCTCCGCCAGCGCCGCCGCCATACGGCAGCCGTCGCGGTACGCCGCCTCGCTCAGCTCGCCAAAGAGTACCTGCACGCCGCGCCGCGCTATCAGCACTTATAGCGCGGGGCAGCAAGGACCACGAAAAGCTGCCGCGCTCGGGGCACGGGCGCTGCCTTTCCGGCACCAGGCGATGCTGACGCCGCCAAGTCGGACTTCAGGGCCCACAGACGTCCCTGCCGAGGGCGAGCCAAGCAACTGCCCGATGCTGGTCTCGCCGTCCTCATACCCGCACAAACCAAGAATACTATGACCGCTACTCCAAAGAGACGTGAAAGCGCTAGCCTAGGGGGCCGCTTCCGCGACTGGTTGCGGCGCGGCTCACCGCGCGGAAGCAGTCGACGGGCGGCGGGAGGCGCGGGAGGCGGTGCAGGGCGTGCAGCATGGTGTACGTCCACTCCACCACCGCGCCGTGCGTCTCCACGCTGCGCCGCACGTGCGCGTACAAGTACTCCTGCACGCACCGCACCCCGCGCGTGGTCAGCAACGGGAAGCGCACCAGCTGCCGAGGGCCGGCCCGGGAATGACAGGCAAGAAGAAGGGACCAGCGTGCAACACACAGGGGCGCGATAAAGCCTCGTCTACTGCGATCAGGGTGTATTTCTGCTCTCAAAGTCTGTTGCGACCCCGGCGCTCGCCCGCTGGCTCATGTTTGCGCGGGGGCGGCGTACCGGCATGGTGGACCGGGTGGCTCGCTCGGCGTCGAAGGCAGCCTTGCTGTCCCAGATGTCGGCCACGGTCTGCAGGAACACCTCCTCGTGCAGTTGGATCTTGTGCACTGCCGGGCCCACCGCGCGCAAACACCGCGGCAACTCCGCACCACAGCCCAGCACCTGCAAGCGGGTGGGACATAGATTCGAACTTCCGTACGGACGTCATCAGTCAGGGCGGCTTGTTGTGGTGAGCTTTCCAGTCCCCAGGGATAGCGTGGTTGCTGAGTGGCGCTTCTAGGAAGATAGCAGCAGCTTCTGAATGGTCATCCGATCCCCTTCTCCCCGGTGCCGCGGTGGCCCCACCTTGAAGCGGTCGGGGTCCTTCCCGGCGACCCCCGGCAGCTCCTCGATGCTCCGCGCGGCGTCGGGCATGACGGCCACGTCGGGCGGCGCCAGACAGTCCGCCTCGCGCAGCCGCTCCGTGAGGTCGGCCAGCGTGACGCGCGCCTGCGCCGACTCCTCGCGCAGCCCGTCCACTTCCGCGCCCAGCCGCTCCGTCAGCGCGCACAGCTCCGCGGCCTGCTCCGCCGTGGCGCCGCGCGCGCCTGCGCCGCCATGCCGCAGCTTGGCCCACGCGGGCCGCGGCGTCAGCTCCCCGCGCCGCTCCTTGGCGGCCACCAGCGCGACCGCCAGCTTGGCCTGCACATCCACCAGCGCCACCTGCGCCGCGTCCAGCTCCTTCTTGGGCACGCTGCACCAGCACGGGCCGCGTCAGGGCAGGGCGCGCAGCAAAGCACGCGGGGCAGGGACACCGCAGGGCCGCCTTTTAGAACTGCCTTCCATCAGGTACCCAAAGGGGTACATCTTGGGGCAGAGAGGTAGAGTACAGGGGCCCTTCCGCTGTGACGTACAAGCACGGGCCCGGCTCCGCCGCTGTGGCTGCCTGTGGGTGGCGGCGCCCACCTGTCTGCGGCCTCGCGCCTCTCGGTCTCGAGGTGCGCCTGCAGGCGGTGCAGCTCGTGCACGCTTTGCTGCTGGGTGGCGCGCAGCCGCTGGAAGTCCTCGCGCTCCGCCAGCTGCACGGCAGACCGGGGGGGGGCGCAGGTAAACGCTCAGCACGGCAGCGGCACGGCCAGGACAGGAAAGACGGCAAGGGTAGAGCGGGATTCGGGGAGACCGTGACGGCAACGGGATCACGGCCAAGGGTAAGCACATTGGGCAAGACTTTGATAGGGAAGAAGCGCCTCTCGGGAGAGGGTGGGTGCGAGGTGCAGACCCGGCTGCACAGGAGGTGGCCGAGACAGCAGGCAGGGTTTGGCAGGACGGGTGCGCAGGGGGCGGTACTCACGCACTCGGCCTCGACCGCCAGCGCACGCTGGACCTCCTCCTTGGCGCGCAGCAGCTCCTTCTTCAGTCGCTTCATCTCCTCGCGCGTCAGCCGCACCTGTCACACCAGAAGCGCCTCAGGCAAGGGCCGACTTGCGGTGCGACTGCCTGGGGCAGCCGCTAAGCCTGGTGCACTCGACCTGAGCACAAGATGGGTCAGGATAGGCCCAGCCGTGGAGCACGACTTTGGTCCGGAAGCATAACAGTTGCTGGCTGCGCAAGTGCTGGACGGTCGACCCATGCTCCCCTCACATCCCGTGTTTTCTGCTGCCGCGGTGGCTCACCTCCGCCTTGGCCCCTTCGAACGCCTCCTGCCCCGCCTGCAGCTCGGCCCGCAGCCCCGCATTGGCGCCCTCGGTAGCACGCACCTGCGCCTCAAGCGCCTGCACACCCCGCGCCATGAGTCAGCCGAGCCCCAGAGCGCCTGTGTGCTGCTACTCAGTGTGCCACCAGTCTCGGTGAGCAAAGGGTAACAGTAGATTGCTGTGTCTCTTCTGGTGATTGTCACTCCACACGCTCCAGGAGGGGCGAGCGGCAGCCGCTGGAGGCGCGCCTAGGCTGCCCGGCCTGCGTTGGCTCACCTGCATCTGTTGCTCGATGCGCCCAACGTCCCCTTGCCGCTCCAGCAGCGCCGCCTTCCAGCGCTCCCGCTCTGCGGCCATCTCTGCCTTGTCCGCCTCTAGCCGCGTCACCACCACAAAGAACGGGACCTGCAGGCCACCCACGCGCCGCAGGGTCAGAGCAGGCCGACGGAGCGGCGGCCACGCGCAGGCCGGTGCAACTCAGTGGGCCAGGATGCGCCAGCTGCTCTCCCGCCAAGGTGGCAGAGAAGGACAAAGACAAGGAGACGGACAGACTCTCTTCCTCGCCAGCTCTTGCATCCGTGTCCTTTTCCACATCATGACCGGCTGGCATGAGCAGGTTGGCGGTGTTACCTGGTCGAAGGTGAGCGAGCCGTCGCGCGAGAGGAAGTGGTCGCTGTAGATGGCGCGCACCAGCTCGTCGCGGATCACCGTGAGCACCGCCGCAAACGGCAGGCCCAGCTCGCACAGCTCGCTCAGCAGCTGCACCACCATCCGCGAGTGCGCAGACGCGGGTGAGGAGGACAGCAACCGGGGGTGGACCACGGAGTAGCACAGGAGACGCGCTGGTCAGGAGGAGGAGTTCCAACAAGACGGCATGCCTCTATGACTGCGTTAACGAATATCCTGCGGGGGGGTGAAAAAGCAGAACCCATCCGATTCAACTGCCCCGGAGTGTCTGATCCTGCTGGCTCACCTGACAGCACACTGCAGTGCGGTAGGCATCGGGTGCCCCGGGTTCTTCCGCTGTGGCGAGCCCCTTCTGGTCCTTTTTCCCCTTGTGCAGCATCTCCCGTAGTTTCACCTGCATGCGGCACAGCGCGGATCGTTGGCAAAGCTTGGGACACCCCCACCAGCTGCCTTGCTGCGGCCTGATGCGCGCCGTGACTGTGATACCTGGCGCGTCTGAGCATTGATGGATCTGCGTGAGGTGCAAGTGCCTGGAACCTAGCGGTCTTGCCTGCCCACAGCCTGGCCTCCTGGGCCAGGATCTGTGCAATGTGATCAACTAACCCCCCATAATCATGCTCCACGTTTCATTTCCCCATGCCCATGGGGTTTGGCCAGCCACAATGCGTGTTGTCTCGCGCACATACTCTGACTTCATGAGCGCAATTGGGTCAGAGTCAGTCCCATGTTGCAGCAGCCAGGTATTGTAGAACGGCATGCGGCATGGCTCGTGCGTCTCCCCGGCGGTGCCGCTGCGTGCCTCACCTCACAGTAGACGGCGGTGGAGCGGAACCTGTTCTCTTTGCCCTGCAGGCTGGGCGCCACGCTGCCCATCGGCGCCGTCACGCGCTCCACCTGCTGCTGCCACGTCTTGGCCACCACGTGGGGGCCCAGAGCGCCCGCCGCCACCGCCGCCCCCATTCCCTCCGTCTCTCCGGTGCTGCCTCGCCGCAGCTTGCTCGCAGCACCATTGGCAGCCAGGTCAGCAGCCGGCCTGGCCGTGCTTGAGGCCGACTTGCGGGACGGCTTGCGGCCCGAGGCGGGGCCGGCAGCAGCCCCTCCTGCTGCTAATGCTGGGATGCGCAGCATGGCGGCCTGCTGTGGTGCATAGGCCCACGGGGCTTCTCTCACTTTGAGGGAGGCCAAGCGGCAGCTGAAGAGGAGGTCAACAGACCGCAGCTCTGAGTGACGGGGGTTGCAGCTCCTGCCCGGCAGCTGCTGATGCAGCAAGAGGCGTCATACGCTCCGCAGAGTGTCGCAGCCGTGCACTGCAAATTATCGTTGCTGAGCTGGCGCCAGATTAACAGCCATCAGCTCTGCCTAGAGCCGAGGAAGCACTCCCGGTTGCAATATTACTTCACAGGAGGAGGGCATCGCCAAGCCTTCAGCTGTTTTCGTGAGAGGGGCCTGTTTCATTGCCCTTCATATCTGCAAGGCCGCTGTTGTGCAGTGTCCCCCAAGGTGTACAGGAGAAAGAGCCTGGAACCACATTGTGAAAGCAGGAGATACTGCATCTGGTCAAGGACACCCCTCTGGACTCGCATCACGTCAATCATCGTGCTTGCGCATGGCATGCGTTCTCCAGCTGGTTACGGCCACTTCATCAGTGAGTGGGCGCACCGCGAGCCACTGCGTGCCTGATCCAAGAGAAGTATCCATCCAGCAGCCCGGCATGCCGGTGGGGTCCTAAAACTGCGCTGAGCGACAGCAGAAACACGAGGTCCCATGCCAATGGCCGGTCCTATGTTAAAGTCCCGACCTGAAACGCTCAGCGGAAGGGAGTACTAGTGCCCACGCACGAGTGACGAAAGCAGGCAACACGAAGAGGCGGATCAAATGATCTGGGGGAAAGTTCAAGTTCAACTTTACTTGAAGAAAGCGGACACCGAGCGCGCGCAGTCCTTGATGACCTCTTCATCGTCGAATTGTTTGTCATGTTTTTATCGACGGCTCAGCAGATCTATTGCGGCCCTGTGAAGAGGGCTCCCCCTCCAAGACGCAGGTACCTATGATGTACGTTTGTACCGTGCCCTGCTGTAAGTTACCTTAGGTACGTACGAAAGCCCGTCGGCACTACCGGTGCCCCATACATACTATGGTACCATAGTACCGGTATAGGACAGTCGGCTTGTACAAGTAGCTAGGTAGGTACCTACTGTACCTACCGTATGTCATGCAGTACCATCCTCCGGTACAATCGCCATGCAAGTGCCTTATCAGCGAGTACTACCTAAGGAGGTAACACGCTGGCAGAGCATTTCAATCAGTCACTTCAAGAGCTGCACACTTGCTGATCCTCAGCCGGCCCATTTGCTGGGCAGACCTGCAAAAATCGTAGTTGCCGTGAGGAGGCCAGCGTTGACACTATACATCATTGGATCATAGTATCACTGTTCCTGCGGTGAGCCCCACTGCATTGCCCGTAGCACCCTATCTAAAGAAAGCCGCAATCACTGGCGCGACACTGACCTTGATGCCAATTGAAAGGACCCGTGCAACACCTTTGAGGCCTAGCATTTGGCAACTTGGTACGACTGACATTAGACGTCGCCGCAGTCCCGTCATTGCCAATTCAGCAAGCGGGTGCAGCGACCTACACAAAACGGAGCATGAGTACCTAAGGCGTCCGAGTTGGTCTGCAGACGCCTTTCTGCCATTCTCAGCTCGTCCCAAGAAGCCGGTACTTGTATTGAGCACGTCTCGCTTGTGATTAACGAATGGCAGACATCTGATTGAAAGAGGCCGCCAACCTGCAGGGTGGACTCTCCTTTCGTGTCGGTTGCTCTTAGAAGAAGTTCCTTCACAGCCATGCCCAGCACCCGACCCTCCGGTTGGGCCCCAGACAATGCCAGCGCCGCCCTAGAGCCAGGGCCCTCGGCGGGTCCGTCGGCCCCGGTTGGCGCCTCGCCGGCCAGCGCGCAGCGGGGCCAGCAGGACGGCCAGGCAGCCTCGACCCGCCCCGGGGAGATGCGGCACATCCCCGGGAAAGCGGAGTACCGGCGCTGGGACTTCCTCAAAGGCGCAGGCCCCAGCGCGCCACCCCGCGTGGTGAGCACACGCGGACGGGCCCTGCGGAGGCTGCGGCTGAAGCAGTCTCGGTGGCTCAAGGGTCTGCCAGACTCGGAGCTAATTACCTAGACTGTTCTTGTCTGCAGTAGCCAATCCTGAGCGGCCAATTTCAGCTGCACTGTGTGGCCTTCCTTGCTGCGATGTCCTCAGCGTGATCTTGGGCAGTAGTGACCAAAAAGTTCTCGCCACTGAGGATCGTCATGGAGCAATGCTCGTCCACCCATGGCCCGCATTGTTGGCCCGTTGATACCAACAGCCTTGTCCTCACAAGGTTGAGTGGGCGTGCAGCTGGTCCACCATGCCAAAGACGTGGGCAAGTTCAAGGCAGGCTGGCACACAAAGAAGGCGGTCAATGTGATCAAACCAGACAAGTGAGGCCCTCGGCACACACTCAACGGTGTACATGTCGCGTCAACAGGAAAAAACTTTGACTGGAGGCAGATCTTTGCGTTCCTGGCAGAAGTGGTACGGTTGACAAGTTTAAGAAGATGATTGGGTCAGCTGCCAGAACTTGCATGCATCGTGTACCCAAGAGATAAGTGCACTTGAGAGAGGACTCAGGAAAATGAAAAGCTTCTGGTACTGCAGTGCTCGATTGATCCACCGAATTGTCAGACCTCTCATCAGGCCTTGCCCTCGACTTGGTTCTAGTTCACCAGTGCATTGGCCCATGGAAGGATGTCAGCAGTGCAAGCTGCCTAGTCTCACTGCCCGCTTGTGGGGCGTGCTGATGCAGGAAGCGTGTAGAGCAAGAGGCGCAGAAGTCCCGCCGCAGTGAGGCCGCGCACGCGCAGCGCAGTGCCCGCCTGAGCGAGATCAGCAATCACCTGGGGTTCAACCCGATCACGGGGGAGATGCGCGACACGCGCCCCGTCAGGTCAGGCGCCACAGCCCTGGTGCACGCCTGGAAAGTCTCCAGGCAGCGAGGCTGCCCGCCGTGCACAAAGCTGCACCGCGGGTGCAACAGCGGCCCAACGTCTCGAGCGCGTGTCCCCAAACATCGTGCAAATACAAACTACACCTTTAGTTAAGCGACAGCTCTCATAACCGTCGAATTAGATCCATGCCGGCCTGCTCACATCACATTCCCTGTGCCTCCTCCAAAATCCTTCAGAACGGCCGATCCGGTATCAGGGATCTCGGCTGGTTACAGTTGCGAGTCGCTCTGCCAGGGCGCCCGGTGCAGTCCCTTTTGGTGAAAGAAAACCTTTTGAAGCCATTGACAGTTAAGAGGGACGTGGTCGAGAAGCATAAGAATCTTACGAAACTCCAGGTTCTTGATCCCAGTTCGAAGAGCCAGTGCGGGTTGGATCCTTGGGCGGGTCGCCTGGCTGGCCATGTGACTTGGCCCGTGGGTGGTTCCTGGTGCAGGCCCCGCGAGGAGGGCATCAAGTGCTTCCAGCGGCCGCAGACGCCGCCAGCCGTCGTGCACGCCAGGCACGTGGCCGCGGAGACCAAGTTTCAAGCGCGAGCGGTGAGGGCCGGCACCGGCGGCGCGATCTGGTGCTGCCTGCCCCAGTCCCAGCCGTCCCATTCCTCCGTAGTCACCTTGCATCATGCTAGTTGCACTGAAACATGTAGGGTGTATTTGCAAGTGCACGCGTTGCTGCTGCCGCTCGGTGCAAAGGTTGGCGAGAGAGCCGCTTAGCCTCTCAATGAAGGCTTGCCATGTCCGGAAGGCCGTTCACACAGGCGTTCCAGTATTCGCACGAGTTGGCCTATCGTAGTTGATCCAGGCTGCCTGGCTCGCAAAGAGTTTACTTCTTGCACGGTGCTCTTGCAGGATCTCATCCGGCGAGAAGGACTGGCGCCGCGGCCAGTGACCGTAGCGGACAACTTCAAGCCAGAGCACTATCTGTAAACCTGCGGGTTTATTTCAAACATCTGTCCCAGAAGTCTGCTAAGTTGAATCATGCTACAATGTTCCAGCTTGTATACGATACGTGCATGATTAAACACGAAAGATCTTGTCTCACTGCAGCTGCTGCGATCAAAGGGTAAAACCCGCTTCCAGTTTTTACAAGGTGCAAACGATTGATCGGAGAGTGCTTGACTTGCCCGCTCGAGGTATGCTGGAATATCTGGGGCTTACCCGCTGGCAGAGCTCTAGTTGATCAAATTGGACGTATAAGTGCATGCAGTTATGGGCCCAAACCACAGGCTCACTCTCCTGGACAGTGACATGCTATGCTGGGGAGATGCCACTCGTAATGTTAGATTGCGGCCTGTAAGGCTAGGCCCGGGTGCGGCCTGCAACGGATCTTTAGATATTGGTCACATTCATTCCCATACTTTTGCGCGACTTTGGCTTAGACGTGCTCAGAGTGTTGGCGACCTTTGTTTTCGAAATTGCGCAATTGGATGCGCAGGTGAGCTGCATTCTACTTGCAATCCTTATAAGCGCATGTACAAGTACCACCCAACCGTTTGCGATCAGCTAGGACGGTACGTGACCAGCAAACTCTTGCGTGGCAAGTAATGATCCGAAGCCGGGGGGCTTGTGCACAGGTTGACAGACATCCATCATGTAGGCGTTGTTCTAACACGCCAGATTACGAAGCTGGCGCGGCAGTGACCAACTGAAACTTTCCTATATTGGGTTCCGTCCCGCTATGTCTCATTGAAGTTTTCCGGTGCATGATTGATGCAACAGCTCGAAGGCCCCTTGAGAAATGAAAAGCGATAAGCATCCAAAGGACTGCGCTCACAGCAAACAGTACCATGATCTGATCATGGACACGAATAATGATGGCGCTTTTTCAATCTGACCGTGCACATAAGCCGTCTTCAAAACATCAGCGGCTTTTCCACGCAACTTTGACACATGATGTGCAGCACCCTCCACTTTGGATCCACTTAAGAGGAGACGTAGTGCTTTCGCAACCGCGGGAATGAAAGTCCGCAGAATTCCTTGATAAGTCACCGACCTATCTAGCTTCCGTCGAAAGAGTGGTCGACATGCGGAGCGGCACGTGACCCGTCGTATGCCGTTACGTGTCGCCTCGGTCTCGTTGGTCAAGCATTTTGGCTGCAACAGCGTCCAGTTGGTCCTGCAGAGGACGTGGGAACGGAGCATCAAATGGAGAAACAATCGCAGCTTTCGTACTTGTCTTCTCACCAATCTTTCTGGGAAAGGACCCTTCGTTCTCGGAGGCCGGGTGTCAATAGTGAATACTGACCGATTGGCCGATGCTGTCTTTCTGCGGGGACTCAGCGGCAGTATCTGTTGCTGGAAAGAGCCACATGCATGTGGGTCACGGTAAGTCGTCAGACAAGCGCACTCGCAGTCCAGTCCCGCAAGCACATAACAGAGCTGCGTCCCGCGCGCGTGGCTGCTGCGCGGCTGTCCGGCTCACCCGCACGGCCGCGAGCTGCTCCACGATGGACAGCGGGTCCGTGCCGCCCGTCTCCGCGTCCAGGGCCACCTCCCGGACGCGCCGCTGGATGCTAACCAGCTGCGCCGCCGCCATGCACGACGTCAGCAGCGACGTCAGCAGTCGTAGGCGGGCAGGGAGAGAGCAAGGGGCAACGCACAGAGTGGGGCGGAGGCAGGGAGGCGCTGCCAGCGATCACCAGCTGTGCCTCCATTCAACCAAGCAGGGAGACACAGGCGCAACCAGTCTGTGCCAACGCAGAGGTGTGTTTCCCTCGGGTGCAGGGCAAGGCCTGCGGCGGTCACCTGCTTCCGGACGAGGCCCATTTCGCTGGCGAACCCCTGGATGTCCAGCGCCCGCCGGTACTCTAGCTCCCGCGTCCTGCACGCCCACACCATGTCAGCATCTTTTGCGGGCCCCTAAAATCAGCGACCAGGACGCAAGGCAGCTCGAACACCTCGCTTTGCTCGCTTCCGCACGATAGCGCACCGCTGCGGTTGCAGGCTGGGGCGTGGCCTGACCTGCCCTTGAGGCTGTGCAGCTGCTGCTCCAGCTGGCGGATGCGCTGCTGCTGCTGCCGCCCCACGCTGTGCGCCGCGCCCCGCGACGACTTCAACTCCGCCTCCAGCGCAGCTGCCTGCCGCAGCGCACGCCGCTCCGCGCCAGACTGGGCCTCTGCGGCAGCGGCCAAGGCAGCCTGGACAACCACACCAAGGCCTTGCAGTCAGTCGGAGGAATGGATCGAATGACAGACAGGGGCACGGCATGACACTGTGAAGCGCTTCGCTGCACCGGGCTTGCTTCAGCCAGGCCGTGGTGTCACGAGCAGGGCGTGTTCGCATAGGCTGACCTCCCGACAGCTGGCCGCGGGGTCGTCCCCGCTGTCGTCGTGTGGCCCGGGAGTCCCGTCGCTGGAAGCAGCCTGGGCCAGGGCGGTGCCCATGGCCCGCACAGCGTCCGCACACTGGCGGGGCAGGAGCTGCACACCAGGGAAACGCCTATCGTGAAGACGGCGCACAGGGACACCCTATGCTCCGATCCTTGCAGGGAGCGTGTCTGGATCGCAAAGAGAGCAACTTATAAAGAATCAGACTCGGTAAAGACAACAGAGCGAGGTATTTTCATGCTGCGGCAGCCTGAGGGCGGAGTGAATGGGCCATAGACCGGACTGGTTGGCAGCCTTGGCAACCAGCGGAAGGGTCAATCCGGCGCACGCTTTGTTTGCACCCCCGCCTCCATCTCAGTGCTGGCTCTCACCTCGAGGGCGAGGTCTAGCTGCTGGCGCATGCAGCGGCTCTCTCGCTGCGCCTGCCTTGTGCCACTGGCGTGCTCCGCCAGCCGCTCCTGGAAGTCCCGCTCCGCAGCCTGCTGCTGGTGGCGGCACAGAAGCAGCTCTGCACACGAGGCAGGGCGGGGGGTCATGCGACAGGCTGCCCGCAAAGAAGCAGCCCCGCTTTCCCCTCTTCGTACAAGGGATTGGGTAACAGAGGACGAGTGCTATATCCAAGAGTTGCATAGGCATGATGCAACTCCTAGGTGGGAGCATGGCAACTCGCAGTAGGCTCCCCGCCTGGGCTCACCGCGCGTAGTTCTTTCCAGCAGCGTACACCGCTTGTCGAGCTGGGCTTGCAAGTCCTGTAAGGACAAGCAACAAGTCAGAACTTGGAGGCCAGCCGCAGTGCGAGGAGGCCCCAAACTTGGGGTGGACTTTTGGTTGCGGGGATCCAGTCCAGCCTTAGCGGCCCTGGTACCACAGGAGCGCACTCACCTCGAGCTTGCTGCTGGCCTCGGCCGCCTGCGCGGCAGCGGCGTCCTCGCGCTGCTTGCGGTCATCCAGCAGAGCCGTGATGCGCTCCTGGGAAAACGCGTGCTGCATGATGGCACACGGAAGACAGGCCGCCTGTCAGGGCTCACTCCAGCTGGGGCAGGTGCCACGGCCAGGGCAGCGACGCCGGCAGCAACAGGCAAAGGATGCCGGTCGGAGTCCAGCTGTTCCCTTCTGCAATTTTGCCCCGGCGTGAGTGACAGCCCACCTGGTGCGCCAGCTGTGCCTGCAGCGCGGCCAGCTTGGCCACCAGCAGCTGGGCCTCCTCGTTGGGCAGGAACACCGTCCGCAGCACCTGCACACGCAACGCCTGCACGTACGTCCACAACAGGGCGGCCAGCGGGGGTGACAGAGCCAGACAAGCACCATCGTCGGGCAGCCAGAACGAGGCTCGCTGGCTGTACAGCTTCTTCCCCAATTCACTTACACAGCACAGTGTTTCAACAGTGACATTACCTCGTGTGGCGACTGCCCCGTGGTGCCCCTACCGTTCCTGCAGAGAACATATATTATTTTCAAAAACAAGTATGCTAAGGATAAGTTTGGAACAATGACAACAAGATGCTTGTCTGCTTGTGACCCCGAGTCCCCACAGATGGAGTTACCACTTGAGCTAGTCTAGACAGGAGGCCAGTCTCATCATCTTGCCTTTTCGTTGCAAGAGGATGGGTGGCTACTCCGGCTGGCTCCTCGGCGTTGGCATAGTGGACGTCATGGAGCACTGGCTGGGTGAATGCCAGCAGGCTCTGGATGCGCGCCTTGTCTTGCTTGCCCTCCAACAGCAGGCTGGCGCGCTCCGCCTGCACGCACCGCACACGCATGTGGGCAGCCAGCAAAAGGCGCCCGAGCAACAACAAGGACATGGTGCCTGGTTTAACCAAAGGGAAGGCTCCTGCTGGCAAGACCAGCCCAGCAATACGCGCGGCCATGGCTGCTTTGGCTGGGCCTGCCCGTGGTGGCCTGGCTGCGGCGCGGCCTTACCTGCAGCTGCCCCACCTGGTCCCTGACCTCAAACAGCTGAAGGTGGGACTCCGCAAGCGCCTGCAGCACAAGCGAGCAACCGCTGATGAGGGGAGAGTGCCAGGTATGGGCTACCTTGTGGCCAAAGCTCTCCCACAAGCACCTTTCTTTCAATTGATGTTCAAGCCTGATGTCTCAAGCAAGAGCAGACGTTTGAATCCAGTTTGCCGTGATTACTACACACCGGACCTTCCTCACTCGATCTATATCGGACTACACGGGGCTGCCCGCGTCTTGCTCAATCCTAGTTCATGCTTGTGCGCTTGCTGTTTCCGTGCGGCCCCACCTTCTGCAGCTGGTGCACCTGCGCTGCAGCCTTGCTGGCGGCTTGCTCCAGGCGGTACACACGGCCCCGTTCCACGCTGGCCTGCTCCACGAGGGCAGCCGCTGCTGCCCGCTCCGCGTCAAACGCGTCTGCAGAGGCAGGGGGTACGCGCGGTGTTGGCTTCGGTGTGAGCGCCAATGCAAGTGGTGCAAAGGCACGACAAAGTCGATGCACACAGGCTGCCCAATGCAGGGAGCAGCACATGAAGACTCACCCAATCGGGACTTGTAGAAGGCCACCAGCTCGGGGGAGACTGGAAGATTTGCACGCACCATGCTGGCAGCAGAGGCACAATGAAGAGCCTCAGGTGATGTGCGCGTTTGGATCTGGATCAACCAAATGTCACTTACTTTGGCAAGCAATCCTGCCTTCAGCTGGCTACAGGGCGCTAATCTTAACAGGCTCTTAGGTTTGTGTCATTTAAACCTACCGGTGCCAATTGTGGCGATAGAACAGAGATTCTGAAACAGCTCGAGAGTGGCTGGCTGGCAATATTAAAGGGCAGGATCGAAGCAAAGCCTGCAAGCGGAACCCTATTAACTGTGCTCGACACTGTACCTATTTGAAACCGGCGCTGACGGTTGTGATTACGACGCGAAGGCGCTCCCTCGGATCAACGCCGTCGATGCCTGACATTGGACGGACTCAGGAAGCCGCAATATACGAAGCCTTAGGCAAATTTCGGTGGCATCAATGCAGCTCTGCAGACAGGTTGGTCACATTTGTTTCCTCCGGATCGCGCACTGACCCTCAGGGTGCGCACTGCGCAGCGACCCTAGTGTGCTGCCCAAGAGTCACCCCCTCACTTCGTCATCCCCTGCTGTACGCGAGCCCACGCGCGCGCGGAAGGAGTTTCGCGCGGCGACCGGCGACCGAGAAGATATTTGGGTGGCGTTCAGGCGTCGACGGCGACGATGAAGACCACCAGTAGTTAGAGTCGTAGATTTGGTGCTAGTCCCGGTTCTGCGGGATAGCG